ATAATAAAGCTTTTTAGGGCCCACTCAGTGGCTGCACAAGAAAGTTTCTCATCAGCACAATTACACTCATCCTGGTTCCTCAAGGGGGGCAGCAGAAGGGGAGGTGCTGAGCTCCTCTGGTGACCAGAGAACCAGAGACAGGACATGAGGAAATGGAATGAAGCTCCATCAGGGGAAGCTCAGATGGGACACCAGGAGAAGGCTCTTCACTGACAGGGTGTTTGGCCACTGGCCAGGCTCCCCAGGAAAACTGCCAGGGTACCAACCCTGTGAGTGTTAAAGGAGCATCTGGACAATACCCTTAGTCACATGATTTAGTTGTAGGCAGTCATGGGAGGAGCAAGGAGCTGGACACAATGATCCTTAAGGGTCCCTTCCAACTTGAGATATTCTAGGATTCTCTATTCCAAAACAATTTTCTAAACCACTTGACTTTAGAGTGACAGACAAAATGTCAGTGCTTCTAATAGGAAATAAAACCAGCCTGGAATTTCAAAACAGTCCTACAGGCAGCCTGCTAAACTAAATTTATTAATCTGCCTCTCAGAAGAAGGATATTGTTAAACTATCCCTTCCCTACCTTGCTCATGTGTTAAGACAAAAAAAAACAAACAAAGAAACCACCTCACCTGTTAAACCAACTAATACAGGAAAAATTAATTTATGGCAGAGTACCAAAAACTTATGACTCATTAAGAACTAACAGTGTTTTCTTTGTGACTAAAAAAAATTACTGGAATAATTAAGTTCCAGGATGAATGCAGTAATCATGATTAGCAAGTCAGTTCTGCACTGTAAGAGCCAACATAAAGCTGGGGAAGCCCAGAAGGAAATAGCTGCTCAACAAAGAATTCTCCAGCCTTTTTTTTTCACCCATGACTCCCCAAGGTAGGGAAGGGATAGTTTAACAATATCCTTCTTCTGAGAGGCAGNAGAATTACTCTGAACACCCACATTTGTCATGTGCTATTCAATGATAAGTCAGCAATCCATACCAGTTTTGTACAAGGAAGTCAACCAGATGGAGAGAGGTTTGGTCAGCAGTCCGGACTGCTAAATGAAGTGCTGTTTCACCTGGCTCCTAAACACACATAAATAGAAGTTAGATTTCTGTCTAATTTACAAAGCTTGTATATCAGACCTATGAGATACATCTCATTCACTCTTTACAAGTCTTTAGAAATAAAAATATTATGATGAAAATGATTATTATCTTTTTTTGTCTCCAAAAGACCCTGTGTGCTTCAAAGGAAACAGCATTACACTTCCCAAGATCTCTGCTTTCCTAAACCAAATTTTCACTTTTCCCAGCTGGATAGAACAACCCTGAGGAGCCTTTAACCATTTTAGCTACCAGCAACTGAAAGGGATCCTGTCAAGGAATACTGAGGAAATTTGCAGTACTTGTTTTACAACAGCCCGGTGAGCACCAAGCAAAGTCACAACACTATCTCCTACAGAAACAGCATCACAAAAATCAGAGTCCTACATACATTAAAACTCTTACAGATTTTCAGAACAGTTGAAGTTGGAAAGGACCTGTCAAGTTACTGCAGACCACCAAGGACCACCAAGACCGCCCAGGACCATGTCCAAATGGCTTTGGAATATCTCCAAGAATGGAGACGCCATATCCCTGGGCAACTTGTGCCCAGGTCATTCTCACAATACAAAAAGGTTTCCTGATGTTCAGAGGGCACTCCCTGTGCTCCAGTCTGTGCCACTGCATTTGGTCCCATCACTGGACACCACTGGGCTCCATCTTCATTCCACCCTCCCTGCAGCTATTCCATACAACAATGATATGCCCCTGAGCCTCCCCCCAGCTGAACAGTCCCAGATCTCAGAGCCTTTCCAGGTGCTCCAGACTCTCAGACATGTTTGTGGCCCTTCACTTCATTCACTCCAGCACATCCAAGTCTCTCTTGTTGTGGGAAGCCCAGACCTGGGCACAGCCCTGCAGCTGTGGCCTCAGCAGTGCTGAGTGAAGGATCACTGCCCTTCATGTGCTGGCAATGTGTCCACACTGCCTGGAATGCCACTGTCACCTCTGCCACAAGGGCACCCTGCTGGCCCTTGTTCACCTTGCTGCCCCATCTGGACCCTCAGGTCTCTTTGAGCAGAGCTGGGTGGTTCCCAGCATAAAGTCGGCACATGGGGGTCTCCCATATATAGGGTTTCTCCTTGTCAAATCTGAATTCAATCATACTTTATTTTCTATACATATCATATGCAATAATGCACTGAAACAGAACCAGAAATGCTGTTTAATTCCTTTTAAAAGTTGCACGAGGAGTTAATCTAAATTTAGATTTCATTAACTCCTACTGATCATAAAGAAAAATTAAAAAAGCATATTACAGGATATATACTTAGAATTAAAGCCTTAATTTAAAAAGTATTATTTTATTAAACATCATAGAATTTGCAGAAGAGAATGCTGCAAATTACATTTCAATTGGTGCTCACAGCTTTCTAGACATCACTGACTGTAATGGCTGGGAAGACTAAGGAGCTAATTCTGTGGTAACTGCTTGTGGAAGACAAATACAGAAAACTGACCTTGCAGTCAGGGAATTTGTAATGTGTTTTCATGATAAGCACTCTGTGATAGCTCAAGTGCTGAGACTATACTGAACTTACCCCTTTCACTGAACACAGACAGGCACTGTCTGCATCAACTTAGCTATTTTCACACAACTTGTTGAAAACATTCTCTGACATGTCTCCAGGTTGGGAGAAAAGACTGCTGAGCAAATGGTTACATGGCATTAATTATCTATTATCTATAAAAGCAGGTTATATACTCATGATTAACATTTGTCCATGAATAATTGAGGTCAACCCAGAGTTTTTTCAGAAAAACTGTTACTGATTTCAGAAGGAAGATCAAGTACTCAGAACTTGATACACACACATGCACACAGAAGAACTTTTCAGGTTGAAAGAAATTGTACTTCTGTAAATGTCTCATCAGAAGCTGTGAAGTCATCAGATTTATTCTTTCCTCGTCTACAGTAAACAGAGACTTGCAGACAGTCAATAACATGTTCCTTCAGCCACTATTTTAAATGCAGGTATGCTACTGTGATATGTGGTACCAGGTGACCCTGGGCTATCAAGTGATTTCTTTGGGACTTTTCTAAGAGACACATTGCAGAACAGGTGCTTTTCAACGCACTACAGTGGCACCAAAACAGTGTATGATATCACTATTTCATTTCACACTCCTTTAGATCAATTGATGACAAAAGATAGTGTTCCNAGCTTCATTCCATTTCCTCATGTCCTGTCTCTGGTGACCAGAGAACCAGAGACAGGACATGAGGAAATGGAATGAAGCTCCATCAGGGGAAGCTCAGATGGGACACCAGGAGAAGGCTCTTCACTGACAGGGTGTTTGGCCACTGGCCAGGCTCCCCAGGGAAACTGCCAGGGTACCAACCCTGTGAGTGTTAAAGGAGCATCTGGACAATTCCCTTAGTCATATGATTTAGTTGTAGGCAATCATGGGAGGAGCAAGGAGCTGGACTCAATGATCCTTAAGGGTCCCTTCTAACTTGAGATATTCTAGGATTCTGTATTCCAAAACAATTTTCTAAACCACTTGACTTTAGAGTGACAGACAAAATGTCAGTGCTTCTAATAGGAAATAAAACCAGCCTGGAATTTCAAAACAGTCCTACAGGCAGTCTGCTAAACTAAATTTATTAATCTGCTTCTCAGAAGAAGGATATTGTTAATCTATCCCTTCCCTACCTTGCTCATGTGTTAAGACAAAAAAATCCCCAAAGAAACCACCTCACCTGTTAAACCAACTAATACAGGAAAAATTAATTTATGGCAGAGTACCAAAAACTTATGACTCATTAAGAACTAACAGTGTTTTCTTTGTGACTAAAAAAAATTACTGGAATAATTAAGTTCCAGGATGAATGCAGTAATCATGATTAGCAAGTCAGTTCTGCACTGTAAGAGCCAACATAAAGCTGGGGAAGCCCAGAAGGAAATAGCTGCTCAACAAAGAATTATCCAGCCCTTTTTTTTTCACCCATGACTCCCCAAGGTTGAGCTGTCAATGCCACTGTCACTGTCACCCAACACTACCAAACAAGTTAAACACCCTACAAACATCTCCTGTACCTTTAAAATACACATGGAGCAACACAGACTTCCACTAGAATGTGGATATTTAGGGAAAGAATGAGGTAGCCTTTGCTGTCCTCTTCAGTAGTAACTTTACTCCTTCAACTTTAGGGTGTTGAGCATTAGAAAACATGCACAACACGTATCTGGTGACACAGGAGGAAAAATCAATGGTACATGGGTCTCAGGAAATAATTCTGATGCAGGAAGAAGAAATATTATTTAAAAGAAAATAATCTAATTGGAAACATGCATTAATGAAGCAAGTTCCTGGATTCTGAAGTACACAAATCTGAGAGATATGCTTTGCCGCTCATTTCTAGGCCTACAAAAGAAAAAATGCAATCTGAGAGATATGCTTTGCCGCTCATTTCTAGGCCTACAAAAGAAAAAATGCACTGCCTGTAGATATTTTCTATGTGTCATATGGAGATCTTTTATCTATTTATTATGTTTAATTTCAAGGAAAAGGTAGGATCAAGAGGAAAAGAAGTAACTGCAGAACAGGGTTGACAGAGAAGATTTAAGAAGAATTTAAAAATATTTCATTTGAATCTTAATAATCTGATCTACAATATCAAGCACTTCACACAAACCAGGTACTGGTTTACACAATCTAAATGGGGTTTTGGTTAGTTTGATTTGGTTTAGTTTTGCTTTGAATGTTACTAGGTTTTAAAAGAGCTCTGTAGTGTGACACAAAATAGTTTACATTTACAGATTCCTAACAGCAGAAAAAAAGAGACAGTGGGTACTACTTTTGCATTAGCTGAGAAAATTATTTCCACTGTTATGTGTGATTTTATACATTTCTATTGGCAAAAAAAACTTGAAATAAATGTAAATATTCTTACGCGACATATTCCTGTTCATCTTCTGCTTGAAAGTGGTATGTTCTGTTATCTGAAATAAAGAAATACATATTTTCATTTGGCACATGATAAATGTTAATGTACCTACATATTTGGTACTAAAACCCATTTGGCAGCTAAAGCCTTCAAGAGTAATTTCTCTTAAAAGGCATCATTAATTATTCACAGCTATGGATAACAGTTCCAAAACAATGAAAAAAGGAAAATGCAACTGTAAATTTTTATTCACACCAATTGTATGTATTTTATAAGTCTAAAGTTTGAAATACTAAAGAAAAATAAACCCATAGATCAAATTTTATCCTTTCAGAAACATTTAGGAGAAGAGGGCAAAATGAATTTGTTCCTTTTGTACAGTTTTTCCAACCAGGTAAGCCAAGAAAATTCTTTTACTAGCCAACAGATGAAGACATGAAGTGGCTAGTATCTCCCACAATAAAAGGTTTCCTAGACTGTCCTTTTCAGTATAGAATGTTGGAACTGTTTGTTGATTAATACTCTGTATATGAAGTCCAAAAATGCTAAGTTGACTCATCAAAAGAGTTTTTAAAACCAGACTGGATACAAATACCTGCTATATGAGACCAAAATGGGAAGAAGGGGAACCACAGGAGCTTTAATGCTAAGAAGACAAGGCATTACCAATTTTCAGACAGAGAAATAAATTTTTAATGTAGGATAAGAGAAAAAGAAATTGGGTCCCCTTGTCTTCCTCATTCCCTCAAATTGAACTCAAAAAGAAGAACAATGACTGAAAAGCCCAAGGTCTTTCCCCTTTCCTGGTGGATACACCTAATGTATGTTCCAGTAAGCTGTTAAACATCTCTCTGAACTTAGGGAGAAGCACATATGCTGCATTTCATGGTTTGTCACAAACAAACAGTATTTATGTCACATCTACTATTTATGTCACATCTACTCAGAGAAATGTTCTACATCCATTTGCTCATCATCAGAACTAGAGGCTCTGACCACTCATAAAACACCGTGTGTGTTTGGATACAGACCTGAACTTTGAGCTCTAGCCCCGTGCTCTGCTCAGAGCATCTTGCAATGATATTTTCAGAAATCCCACATAAGTGGTACATCCCACAAGATGGTACTGAAGTTGCTACTATCTTCGGCGTTTGGCTTCACCTGGCAGGTCAATAAATTCAGTTTAGCTGGTTGCCTGTTGGACTAAAAAGAAAATTTATTTTATTTTAAAAATGTATTGATTTAGGATTAATTTCCCTTTCTGGGGAATGGGCATGTATGATATTACTTAAAGCTTGGATATGCACACATATCCACCCTCAAAAAGCTGGAGACCCGCATCACTTGGTCTGATTTAGTCTCTCAAAACAGACACATTGCTAAATCTAAACAAAATTAAAATCTTCATGGCCTCACTTTATCTGAAAGGGATGGAAAGAGAAAACCTGAAATTTACAATATGCTAATAGTAATATTTTTTAACTGCATTTCATCAACAATGGCAAAACTATAATGGAGTTTTTCATTACAGCATGCCCATAATCCAAGTTTCCTCCCATTTTAAATAAATCAAAGATATAATCCTAAAACTTTAAAAGGGAAGTGGAAAGCCAAAGATCTGGAGTTTATAAACTCAGGATAAATACCAATATTCTGTGCTGCAATTAAGCCACTTAAGACATGATAATAAAATGAATCTTTAAGAAATTTGGGATTTATACAGGTAGTAAGCTTTAGAAATTGAGGGCAAAGGGGGAAAAGAGGTGAGGAAATGGGATAATTTCCTTTAATAAGAGCAACTCCTGTGCTTGTTTCCAACAAGTTCATGTTACACTCCCACAAGGCAGTTTTAGCTCTGCCTCCACCATGATCACCTTGGTGCTACCTCACGATTGAGCATTCCTAGGAAAATCCTTTAGATATGTGCCTGATTCCAAGAACTCACTGTGATCAAAACTTCCCAACATTTCAAGATTTTAATTGAAATCACTCAAAATACTAAACACATTCACTCATCTGCCAGCCTCTAACCTAGTATCAAGTGCTTCCCAAGTTCCCAAATTATGTGGTTCACACATACACCATGACAATCCTCATAGGCAAATCCATCTGAAGTATTGAGATGTCTGTTCAATACATTTGCCATTTTTTTATTAAACTACTGATAAATTCATTTCATAAGCTACAGTTTCACAAAACTTCAACAGTCAGAAGCTGAAGTAGCATCCTTTTTGTAATAGCATATTAGCAGCAACAAATTCACCAGGAAAAGACAGTGCTATTTATTATTTCCATATAAAGGTATAAAAATAACTTACCGTTGCATGTGAGATGGTAAGAATTCCATTTTTAACAGTGCACTTTCTTCTTTGCCATACTTTCCTTAACCTACAAAAAAACACCGTATCAAGTTTAGTAAATGGATGTAACTTCAAAACACATTAATATCATTATCAGTTTGAGACAATTATCTTTAAAAAACAAACAGATGCAGTCAAAATTTTATTAAATGCTTCACCAAAAAAAACCACTTGGATATTTGTGAGAGATCTTAATCATCTTTCAGAGAATTATAAAGACAATAGCTTTCTTTTAACTATGACTATTATTTTTACACTTGCTTGTCAGGCTTTTAATATTTGATATATTAATAGAACATACCCATCACTCTTCTTTAGAAGATAGCCTTTCTTCTCACTGCCATACTCCTTATTCCCCTGAAGCTGATGCATACTGTACCCTCCTTGCCTGCTCTGTGAATCCTGAAAAGGGGAAACACAACATTCATCTTCTGATGTGCACAACTTCCCCAACCTTTAATCCTATTTTATTTTTTCTTCTCTACAACATCATTAATTAATACAGATTAAAAAAGGAGAACTCCTGCTGCATGTTTTACATTCACTGGAGAGCTTGCTTTGACACAATGCAATCTTGAACTAAAGGCATGTTCAAGATTTAATTAATACATTAGGTCTTTGATGCAAATATGCATCTCAAAACAAACACTTTTAGAATACAGATATTTAATACTGTACAATCTTATCAGCAAAAAGCAAAAGGCTAAGATAAAATTTCAAAAAGAAAACAATAAAATATAGCATGCATATATATATATAGGAATACATATATAAAGAAAGACAAATGCTAATAATATTTTTTTCCCCAAATAAAAAATATGTATAATTCATGAGTTTTAGTGAATGAAGTCAGCTGAAATAACTTTTGACCTGTTCTAGTGAAACAATTAAGTGAAATGGATTAACTTGTTATAAGCACATCAGAAAAAAAAAATCCCCCAAATTCATTAAAACATTGACTTACTCTCCTAGACTTCGATCACGAAAGGCAAAAGCAACAGAGGAAAGAGAAAGCAAATAATTTAAAACAAGAATTATTATTCATTTAAATAAACATGTTCCTTGAACATAGTTTATAGCCCCTATTGTTAAAACAGTGTTTCCCCTTTCTGAGGACACTAATAGAGGGATGACAAGAACTATTTTTTTAGGCATATCGGTGTTTTGTCTCATCCAGTAACAAAATATCGTAACAAAATTCCAGGCAACCTGGCATATATGACATTGGCTTTACAAAACAACTAATAGGACTGCAAGATCGAATTTTAAAATATCTTCCAATCTTTGTCATCTTTATAGTGCCTAAAATGATAGTTATGTTGTACCCTCCACCACAGGAGCTAATTCTGAATTTCCTTTGAAAAAGATCAGGCCCAAAGTGAACATTTACTTTTTGCAAGTGTATGCAAAAAGCTATAATTAAGGTCTCATCAATTTGTTTTTAAATATAACTATGAAAAAATAATCTGCAAAACATCACACACAAAAAAAAATATAAAAAAAATAAAAACAATGGGAAGTTCAATTACTCCCTTGTCAATAATATTTCCTCTCTAAAGCAGAGTTTCTTACACAACCAATATATATTGAAGATTACTCCCTCTTGGTTTATCCAGGGTGCTTACAATTGTTTTTCATTTTGTAATAAGTTTGCCACAGTTTAGGGAAGTGCTTTGGTAAAGCTGGCAACTGTGGCTGGAAGCAGCACAAAGGATTCTGTGAGCTGGGTGCTGCCAGCAGTGCTTACAACACCACAATCAGCAGCTCGTTTGTTAAAAGCAAATTTCAAATCCCCACTGGAATTAGGGTCCTGCTGGTATTAGCATAGGAACAAACATAATGAGATATAGTTCTTGTTCCAAGTAGCATATGAGATGGGAGATTCGGGGAAATAAAATGTAAAGAAATAATTGACAAAACAGACACAATACATTTAACTTAATGCCGTTAAGTTACATTTGCAGCAATAATTAATAGACAAAAGTAGAGAACAGAAGGCTGTATTAAAGGCCCAGGTTCTTTTAAAATGTAAGCTTCCTAGGATATGAGCATTTTGCAACATACAAGATCAGATACTTTACACAATTAAAAGTACACTAGTATTCATTAAAATACTTTGTCCAAAAGCCATAAAATGATTTTCCAAGATTAGGTAATTTTGCACAAGGTTACAGAATCTGCCCCAAGCTGACATGAGGGCAGCACAACAGAGGTCACAAGAGACACTGCATGCAACAGAGCCAACACCAATGGTACTTCCTGCAATGAAGCTGCAGCACTGGCACTGCTGCACAGCCCAGGATCCAAACCGGGACAAGATGTGCTTCTCCAGGAACCAGTGACTGCATTGATTACATTAATATTTTTTCCCTGATGGAAGGACAGGTATGCCACAAAAATGTGTAAAGTCATTACAGATGCCCATAATGCTAAATAAACACCTTGAACAAGTGCAACAGTCACACAGAAGTTGCACTATGAGACCTCGAAAATGTTGGGACGCCTCACTTATAACAGCTCTAAAGAGGTTAAAGGTGGCAGAACTTACAATTTGGACAGGAATCACTAGTTTCAATTTCCTTCTCTCAGTCAAAGAAACTTAACTATCAACAACCAGGGCCTCAATTTTATTATTTTAAACTGCTTCCCTGCCAAAGCAATGTTTGGTGAGAGTTCTTCTGATTTTTCACAAATCCACCAGAAATGCCATTCATTTCATGTTCTTCAGTAATTCCATTAATCCATCAGTTTTCCAGCGATGAGATTATGATGCAATAATATAAGTGGGAGAATGTATACATTATTGTAATACACCAGGCCATCTGTTGCAGTAATAAAGTCCAGCTTTATGTACTTGAAGATTTGGATGTAGACAGTGATGGAGGCTGGCTGGTGAAAACTCAGGCCATGCTTTGCTTCGTCTTAACCAAGGAGTAACAAATGCTGACATGCTGCTTCAAGATTAAACACTGAATACCTAAGCAACACATTGTTTTATCAAGCTCCTCAATTTCTTCCAGCATCATTACACTCTGACTCATGTCATGTAGCAGAATCTCATGATTGAAAGTCCTCATGCTGGTTTTGAAGAAGAAACTTGAACATAAATGTGATCAAATGGTTATTTTATAAAAAAAACCAGATTCTTTCATTACAGCATTTCTCAATCTCTCTCTCTGATTTGCCTGGATATCTGAGAATCACAATACTGCTCCTTTTTCTTCTAAGGCACAACTTCAATTCTCTTCAAAACACTTTATTTTTATATTTATAACTTTATATACATATTATACATATATACACACACAAAGTTTTTCAAAAGTCCTAGAATTCATCCACACTGTAATTACAGTCAAAACAGTTGCACAGTTTATTCTGGTGATGCCTGTGAAGCTACTTTATTTCAGTATGTATTCAAATATCAAAATTTGACTTCACATTTATATTTGACTTTACTTCTGTTTTTTGGATGAGGTTTTGTTGGACATAGGTAGAGCTTTACAAAAGGAAGGCCTTGTAAAATCATGGCTTGTGGCTCATCATAAAGTCTGCTACATCAGTTAAGCAGAAAAGGACTATGGGAAAGTGATTCAGCTGAACCAGAGGTAGAAAAACAAGCCACGTAACCATCATGGTGTACGGTAGTTGATGATGTTGAATGCTGTTTATTATGATTTAAAACCAAATAATCAAATAAAAACTGATAATGGGCTAACTGCTTAAAAAAAGGTCCGGTTTTTGCAACAAAGCACAAAGCACCTTTGCACCTGCCTGGGAACTCTGCATCACTATGGACCCTCATCCACAAGCTCACCCACAAGGTTGCTTTCCACTAAAACACAGTATTTTTACTATATATCCAGGAAATAGGCAACCAAAAATCCAAACATTATATTTCACTTGTTACTCTACCTCACAATAATCTATGAGCAATTCTGAAACTTGACTTGTATGGACTGTTCCATATGCAGCTGTGAATGCACAATACATTTCTGAAGAACATCCACCCATTTGTCCTATTTTATTTTCAAGAACTGGCTGATTGTCAAGAAGCATGAACTCAACAACATATGCAGCATCCAGGAGAAGAGGAGAAGTTTTTCTTTGCTTCCCAGATAATCAGTTGGTGGAAGAAAAGGTACATGAGAGGAGAGTGTGCCTTGTTGCTCTGCGTGTTGGGAATCAATTCCTGATGAAGAATGAGCAGGAATTATGCTCAGAATTATTTAGATCTGGTAAGTGCACATCGGAGATGGAAGGGGAAAAAAATTACCAAACTGAGAATCAGGAAAGACTGTAAAATATGAGATAAGGGAAAACTGAGCACTAGGAAGAACTAGCAGCTTTTACAGTAAATTTGGATCAATTCAAAGGTGCTCTGTGGTACTCCTGTCAGCATTTGTATCATGAGAGAAATTCTAAAAAAACGTGTACAGGGTGATGTAAGGCTGTGTTGTCCTTCAGAATGATGGGATTAGAGTTGCAGGAAGAGGAACAGCCTCCTGGCCAAGGTTTATCTGCTATATGATGTACACCTATGTTATGTAAGCACACGTAAGCGTTCAAAAGAAAAACAAACACCACTGTAAGGAATTACTCGTCCATTATTCCTTATTAACTGTGATTCCACATTAATTAATTTACTAACTTCAAGGCCACATCTATCCACAATGGCCATAATCACAAGGGGCTATCTACAAAATTACATGAAAGCCTATGAAAATACTTGCCCCAGATTCCTGTTTTTTATAAGTTTAGAATCCTATTTTTCAAAAGTTTCAGAAGAATTCCAGGAAAGATTTTTTAGCTTCACACCACAGAAGGGACATTGAAAACAATTTTGAAGAGTTTATTTATTATTATATACACTGGAAAATCAGGGGAGCTTTTGAACAGAGAGGTTGTGTACAAAAATTTCCTGTAGTTCCCTGAAGAATCAGTAAGTAAATGATGACTGATGCAGTGTACCTGGACTTTCAATGGGCACTTATTCTTCCTTATGAAAGGGAACGAATTGCATTGCCACAGGATGAAAGGAAAAGTCCTCAGGTGAGTTAACAGGTTAAAAGCATGAAACAGCCAGATGAGTTTACAGAAAGCTGTGCCAGCACATGTGGTGTCTAACACAAACAATATGGAAAAGGATGAACAGTAAAATGTCAAACTTTGTTAGATGCTATTAAATTATTCAGGAGACTCAAGAATAGGCTGACTGAAGAATTTCTCAGGAACTCAGTGATAGTGAGTAGCTTGACAACAAATGACAGGTGAAGATCAGCATAAAAAAATGTCAAGTGATGCAGAGGGAAAGAATAAGATACTTTGAGCTCACCATGAAGATTCAGAAACAGGATAATACGGTTATAGCTTTACAGATGATTAAGCTTACACACCTTTTCTGGCCAAAAAGCAAGTCAATGTAAGGTTTTATGTGGAAAAATTAAAAAAAAAAAAAATCAAAAAGGTATCTAGTGAGCATATCAACAATTCACACACACTCAGATCCTGAATAGGGTATGAAGATCTAAAAGTTAAAAACAAGTAAAAGGGAAAAGATCTTTCCATACAACCATGGTGGGAAAGGCACAGCTGCATCATAAGCTGATGGTTTACATTTCTTCAAAAAGCAACTGCACAAATTCCAAGACTTCCAAGCCAGTCAAGCTAATGGGAGGGTATTCTGGGGAAGTATCAGTGTTTATTGCCCTGCATTTTACTCTCAACACCCATTATTAACTCATCAGAAACTTGGCTGACTCAGAAGTTGTAAATTATGTTTTTATGTATATATTATATTAGCAATACTGTTAATCATATATTTGGATGATTATATATATTCAGCAGAAGGGCATCTGTCTAATGTTTAGTTATAATTCATATTTAATAACAGACACCTGGTAAACATGTCTCATAAACCTACAAGAAAACTGAACAGAAGGTAAGCAAACTTCTCCTGAAGGAAAGCTACACTGACCCTCCCAACAGTCACTGTCACCATGGGATATTCAGTATCTCCCTCAGGTACTAAGATTTTGAAGTCAGGGGATTATCTCAGGTAAAACCCGTATTTTATTATGTTATCTCTTAGTACAAGAAGTATTCCAGAACATCTGCAATGGACATGATATGTGCTTCCCTCCACTTTTGCAATGGATACCAGATACCAGTGCATTTGATGATGAATCTTACTTTTTAACTGCCCTGTCTCAGCCCCTTCTCTCTAAATAGCAAACAAATTTTCTTCCTTACTATATACTGTTAGAAAAAGGAGTTTGGAAAGGAGAACAGCAGCACAAAATCCATTTGAGTTAGTATAGTACAAACCACAGCTAAAGGCAAGTCTCTGGTTCTCATTCTGCCTTGGGATCACCTGGGTCAAGAAAATCCTGAACAGAAACTGGCTGGAGGTTAGCGGAACACCAGATTGAAGTGTGCATCCCTTCTCTTCATTTTTCACCCTGAACAATCATTCCTTATCTTTGTCAAGGACAGGATGCTGGGGTACATGAAGCATTTATCTGACCCATTACAACTCTTCTTATAGTGCATTAAGAAAGTACATAAAACAGAGAATGATTTCTTTTTGTACATAAAATTCAAACAGAAAATGAATGTAAAAACATTGTTTGATGATACGTAGTTGAAAATTGTAAATATTAGTTTTGCCATAATGTTCACAAACACAACTTTTGAGCCAATAACTACACAAATTTAACGTTAATTAATTTCTGAATATAAAAGTCACAAATTTACACTATCTCCAAGAATAACATATTTAAATTATTTACCTCCTTCTGATCAAGCTGCAGAGAGGATTTTATCAAATCTCGAAGAGCTGTAAGTTGTTTCTTTTCTTCATCCTGTGTCTGCTTTATCTGTAGAAAGAGATTGCCATTATATGCTTGCTGGATGCAACTTTAATGCTTTATGCATTTCAATATACCATTTTAGATATCCTGAACAACCAGCTCAATTATTTTGTGTTTTTGTAATAGTTGAATTTATTTTCATGGACAATCCATTCTTATGTCTTCACCTTCTATGCATTTATTGCTTGAAAAGCAAATTAAAATGAATGTACAACTTGACATGCACTGTTTGTTCAGTTATATTTTAATGGCTTATTATATCTAATGCAACTAAATTATCCTCTGAAATATTAAAATAACTCAAATAAATTTGACAGATTACTTAAGGAATGAAAATGCAGTTTAATTTAGCAACAAATGACAATAGAAAATGGGATTACTGTAATTCTGATTATAGAATACAAAACACTTGGTTGACAGTGATTTTGACTCCATGTTATTACTTTTCTTCAATGAACATCAAAAATTAATTCATTTTAAAACCACGGTGCTATCATTAAGTAGTTTGGTTTTAAAAAGTGAAAATGGAACTAAAATCAGAGTTAATAATATAAGCTGATTCTAATATCTACACTTTAAAGTAGTTTTATCTTAATATATGATTGAATTTGTAGTAGAATGAAAGCAACTTTTCCTAATAGCTCTAAAAGCAGCATATGAAGTCAAACAGTCAAGATGTCTTTTCTTCATCTAGCTATTTTCAGTTTCAAGTAACATACTTTTCATTTATAAGATGCAAATGAAATATAGATCCTTATAGTTATATTTTAAATGTACTCATATAAACAAAATATTTTCATTCTCAGATATAATTCTACTTGAAAGTAAACTTACATTATATAGGTCAGCAGCCAACTTTTCAATATATTGTTTAAGTTTATCAGCTGTTTTCAAGCCATCTTGGAAGAAACTGGAATGAAAAATTTGATTTATCAGGAATATATCGAGTTCATAACACAAAGTAGATTGTCTTGTGGAGAAAAATAGCAAAACCAATAAAACATAGCCAGCTTCTTCCACGTTCAAAACTGAACAAAATAATTAAACAAATGAAAACCCCAACAAAAATCCCCTTCCTTGTAGTTTAAAGTACAGTATCTTTCAACAGTGGAGATACAATATTGTGATTTTAACAAATATCTAATTAGAGAGAATATAGCCAACGTGTTTCTCCTACAGTAATTTCTACAAATCTTTTTCTCTGCATTTAACTTAAGTTCCTGTGTGTTTGCCTTTGCAGTTCTAACAATGACAAGGTTGCATCTCACCTGTTTCACCTCAAGGAAATCCAAAGAAATGACTGGATTTCACAGTGGGTTTAAAATTTACATAAAGACTAAAACCTATTAATTGGAATAAATAAGATATTTACAGAAATGCATTCTAGATCAATGCCTCAGGAAATAAAATGAATTTTTGTATGCAACATGCAAGTTTTCCTTTGGCTTATTTCTCTATGATTGCCCTGCCCCACAAACTCACACTCTACTGGAAATCTACAGCCTCTGAAGAGGAAGATTCACACACCTGGCACATCACAATTATGAAAAAAAGCCCTGATGCTTTCAAACAAAGGGAAACAAAATCTTGAGCAAAAAAGAAAATTGTAGCTAAAGCTTAAAGCATTGCAACACTTACTTGCATTGTGCATGGTAATATTTAATAAGGTTCTGCAGAAGGTCCACACCCTTTTTTGTCTTGATTTCATTAACCTTAATAAGATACTGTATAGACAATGTAAAACATGTTGACAATCACATATTACAACCTTCAACAGTTTTCAAACAATAAAACATCATTCGCTCAATGAAGTAAACTCTGTGGTTAACTTGGGTGCTGACCCATAAAACACTAGTCCACCACTGCTTAACAAACTTTAAAACAGGAAACAGTTTATCTGGCCACTCCATAAAATTTAAACACCCCAAAACATAAAGCAAATTCAAGAAAAAAGTTTAATCCTTTACAGTTGTCTAAAGATTTCCTTTTTTAAATGTTACTATAGTCATTATTGAAATATTCTGGAAAATACTGCGTAGCAAACACTGTGTAATTTAAGGTAATCCCCACTAAAATGTAATAAAAAGAACTATTAATATAAAAAAAACAGTTTTATGAAACTGACTTATCACTAACATTTATCACTTTATTAGAAATTTTAGAAGGCTTCAGAAAGCATATTGGAAGAAAGATATCAAAATACCACTTAACAATAAACCTGATAAAGTAAGAAGTATTTCTGCAGTGTATTTTCAGCCCAAGAACCTTCCCACAATAATCTAAAAACAAGGTGAAGGAATAAAACAAAAGAGAAGCCAAGTTTTGTATGAGTTGCTAAAATAATTATCTTTATATTGCTGTACTGTGTCACATTAAAATAATTTCCTCCCTCCATCCCCATTAAATGACAAAGAAGATTTCACCACCTTCAAGTAAGACCCACAAGGTCTGTTAATAAGAAGTTATGGTGTTGCAATTAAAAACTGAAATTTGTTTCTTACTTCACACATCTGTAGCTGAAATAGCCGCCGCTCCTTCTCCATTTCCTCTGCTATCTCAGCTCCCGTTATCTCAGTTCTTATCATCCCATGCTGTTTCGCATGTTCTCTTTTTTCCTTTTCAATCTTTGTACTGAGATTTTAATTAGAAAACATTTTAGAGCATTCCTTCCACTAAAACAAGATCTAGCATTATTTAGGGAAAAAGTAATAATTAACAAGTATCAAAAAAGACATTCTGAAGATTAGCTCCTCTACCAAATCCTGTATATTTTTAGGTCTCCAGAAGCTACTGAGCCATGAAACTGCCCCTCCTTCAACTCTGTCCTCTAGATTGTGTGTTACTTGGGGAAAACAATAAATAGTTATATCTTAATTAACAACACTAATAATAATAATTCATTTTAAAAATCCCAACCCCACAAAAAACAAAGCCAAGTGGGCGACAAAAATACTTACAATTTGGTTTCATAATCTTTCCAGGCTTTGTCAAAAGGTTTTTTGAGGTCCTTAGGAAATAGAAAATTGTCTTAGAACATTTTAAAAACTTTTTCTTTGTAGTTATCAAATAATAAATAGCAACAAAAATACCGTTTTCTTCAAAACTTTTCAGACAGCAGTTGGAAAAAATATACTGGGTCTGAATCTTGTAAAGTATTGCTTTCCTGTGCACAGTAACACAGCAATTTACAATGAAATGTTCAAGATTTTATTGCAGTCATGCCAGTTTTTTTCTTTGTACTAAATACAGAATATTAATAAATGCCAACATAAGAAATACTCTCATGAGTGAAAGGAAAACAGTCACTAGACTGAACATGAAACACAAATTTAGTCTGCAACACTTACCCCTTTAACACCTTTTAAGTCTCCTTTTAAGAGAGAATCCAAAGTGAAAATAACATTGTGGCTTAAGCCCTGGAGCTAGAAACAAAAACATTATCATACAAAAGGATTTATTATGATCTTATCAAACTACTGCCAACAAGCTTTTGAACTTCACTAATCAAGTTGCAATCACCTCACATTTCTAAACTTCTAGTAAATTCAAGTCTGAGAAGAATTAATAAATATTTACTTGCATAAGACATAGAAACATTATAATTAACATTTACTTAAACAAGGTGACATAAACCCAGAATTTTACAAATAGCACATAAGCAAAGTTCTGAAAGCACTTCAAGGCAATATTTATCCTCTTGAAGCAAACATTTGGGTACAAATTTGACTACAGCCTCCTGAGTAAGAAGGGCCTGCTGTGTCACAGGCAGAGAACACACAAGGCACAAATTAATTCAACTATGAACAGAAGGAGCCAACAGGGGCACCAGTTCTTTGAATATTTCCCCCTTTTTGGGAATACTGTTCTTTTTTTCGTCCATTATGCATATCTGACATATCCTTAACCTCTCATGAGGACAAATTTCACCCCACTGAGTTCAGACCTATTTGATTATCGACAAGAGTATCAAAACAACCACTCAAACAGGTTCTCCAGATCTAGTGTTCCGCTCCAACTCCTTGTATATTCTAAAGACACTGTAGACTTTCTTTCATTTTTCCAGGTGTATCCATTAAGGAGAACAAACTCAAGCCATTAATTTTTGATTTGAAATGACTGAACAGTAGCCAGTGAGTATGTCAGCTATGTAAAAAAAAACAAAAAACACAAAGCCAAACAGCAGTGTATTACTCCAGTACAGCAAGGATTTGGAATCATTTACATCATTGTAGACTTGATAAAACAGTAGCCCAAATGAACTGGAAACAATCTGAGAAAGCAAAACCAAATGAACTGGAAACAATCTGAGAAAGCAAAACGCTCTCATATATACACCAAAACAAAGAGAAAAAACCCCTTAACATATGGAAACACACATGAGAATTTAGTGAGGGTTGTGAACAAAAAGTAACTTGCCTGAAAAGAGTTGCTGAGGACATTTACAGGAAAAACAGGCTTTAAACACTTGGAAAAAGGCAAGAACCATGAAAATTTTCAAAAGAAATAATCTGCAAATGCTACAAATGTTCTGTCAGAACCTCATCTAGATCAATGTGAAGATACTGCCACACTCATTTTCATATACATAGGTCTTTATACACCTTTAAAATGCACTATTATAATGAATTACTGCATAAAGAATGAAACCTGAAATGGACAAGGAGGTAGAAGTAAAAAAAAAAAAAACCAGAGAAATTTATTCTGGTGGGACACTCAAAAGAGTTTGCTGAAAACATAGACCAGGGTTGGCAATGGCCAATCCCAATGTTTTACCTTTATAAAATCTTACTGAAGGGTCATTGTGTGTCCTTCTGGTAAGATAATACTAATATCAACAACTTAACTATTATATTAATAGATTTTAAGTTTCAGACATTATATTTAAATATAACATCAACAGTTAATAGTAAAAACTGCACAGTAACTTATTTAGCCTTGTTAAAATGATGAATGGACATGTTTTTATTCTTGCCTTTGTGTGCTGAGTAATTATTTCAAAACTATGCTTTCAAAAAGTTGTGTATGCAATAAAAGATGCTGGTTTTACTTCATAGTAACTGAATATCACTCTAAAAGTAGTCATAATTGATGAAGAAAAAAGTTATTTTGTACTCTCCTTCTCATGAAATAGCGATATCACAATTCATATGAAAATTGTAATGAATCATAACTGAAGTTCAAAGGTGGAACAAAGGATCTAAATTTGTGAAGCATTTTTCTCATTGTCTACTCTGTAGCTCTAGTCCTTCTTAATTTTTATGTCTTTGAAGACCATTCATTATTTTATTGTACTTTTATTAAATAAGCTATCAACAACCTGTTCTGGGTAAAAAAAAAAAGATCCCAAACCTATTATCCTTCCATTCTTATTAATAACTCCTACCATTTTTCCAATTAATTTTATCCACATAATGCTCAGCACCTACTTTGGAGCTTTATCAGTGCCATAACAGAGTCGTCCTCTCATCTGCTTTTTCAATGGACCTCAATTTCTATTTTGATATAAACATCTTTTTTTTCTTTTAGTGAAATCTTATTAAACAGACTCGTGCTTAAGAACAAAAAACCAGAATTTTCTGCCTTAGGGAGGAAAAAGGAGAAAAATAAACTGCTTTAAAATGCTGAGGCAATTGTAAAGTAAGTTTGTTGTCTAAGGAAATTGTAAAGTAAGTTTGTTGTCTATTTGAAACTGCTGAATGAACTAAATTAGTGAACACCCTATTTCAAATCCTGTCAACAAGAATTTGGGTAGATAATGTTTCATAATCCAGCTGAAATATTATAATGCTGTTTTGAATAAGTGTGGCTTCTTAAATTAAAAGTGCTTTTTCCTCTTGATCAGCACTATATTTTAAATAATTAAATAAACCCTGCCATATTTTTTGCTAGTTGAAATAGGTTAAAATATTCTGTTGTTGCCCTGCTAGGAATGACAAAGTCTAGAAAGCTTCCAAAAAACTTGAGTTTTTGTCCCAAGCTGTCTTGATACTGTACTTTAATTCACATTTTAAAATAATTACTTTTAATTATGTGTTAAATTTTATTTAAAGAAGGTCAAAATAACCCAGAGTGACAGAAGTCTCTACAGAGGAAAGCATAAGACTCAGACCTGGGCACCTGTCAAAGGCAGAGAATTTGCTACAGGGACCTCTGGTGATCTACAGCAGTTATGGTTGTGCTGGGGACTACAGGAAGCCAAGTCTATAACATCACTTGCACTGCACACACCAAAAAAGCTTGGAAATAAGCCCAACTATAAGAAAAATGCAAAACTGCAACTATGACTTTCTGAATATAACAGCTACAACGCCTATGAAAAACGATTCCACAAGAAATGTGGCGTCATTACTTTCAGTGTTCAAAGCTATTTGTTATGATTGCAGTTTTATTATGCAGCTTTCAGAAATAAAAGGCCTAAGGCAAACCTTAAATGAGACAAACCTTTAAACCACCTTCAAAAACTGGTATTTAAGCGATGGATGCTTTATATATCACAGGAAGAGCAGACTGTTAACACCATTTAAACATGCTCAAATTGTTGTTTTTCTTCCAAAAAGTGAATGTTTCTCCTTTTGTGGTAAAACAAAACAGCCATAACTAATGATATGGTATTTTTAACTAGAAAGACTTCAAGTTAAGGGATGATTTAAAATTAAGATCCATGAGGTATATATCACCATCAATCACTTGAGAATGATGACTCAAGGGATGACTTAACATTTATATTTACTTTCTTAACTGCCAATTAACAATCAAACACAGAATGTGTAATAAAACCCTTTAGAGATTCTCTCTGCAGAAACTGTTGATTTTCTTTTTGAAAAAAACTGAAAGCATCTTAAAAATTATCCTTTGTCATCATGATCATGCAGTTCTTATATGATACTTTATTTTGAAACAAGTTAAAAGCTAAGAAAGTTTGAAATTCCTCACCAGGTTCTTCAACAGTGTTGATAATTCTTTAGTAAGCGTGGAAAATTTTACAAAAGCTGTGCCAAGATCTGGATTATCCCGACTTAAAAAATTACTTCCGAATTTATCTAGTACTTGTGCATAGTTTTCTTCATTTTGAACATGATCTGCAAAGAAAAATCAAAAGCCAGGTTTTTGTAGCCAATCAATCATAATTTTAAGCTTATTGCACTTAAAAACAAACTAGCAAACAGGACTTTGAAAAAAGCCACAATTCAAGACATTCACTGAAAATTAAAATAATTTTAAGATTAAAAAGAAATATTTAGCAACAGGCTTTTTAAATCAGCAAGTTGAATTTGTAATACAGCGATGAAGAAAACTCTGTAGTTATTGACAGAGTAGTAAGATCAATAATACATCAGTGAAACAATATAAGCTTGTTTTGTAAACAATATCACAATTTACAAATGCCCACTACAGGAACTTTCATGCATACATGAACTTTTATTTTGAAATGCTGGAAAATTTTACAGAACAAAAAAGTCAAAAGTATCAGATATAGAAGTAAGGAGACCAAGTCTGAATCTGACTGTAAGTTCAAAAAAAGAAACATCTTACAAAGGTTTCCTTTATGCCTGCTTTGTACACTGAGTTTTCCCAGATAATGGAATGTTTATTGGTCTGCAGCCAAAGATTCATTCCAATGTATTTATTAGCAAACTGCACATACAGAGAGGTCAGAACCAAGACAATGCAGTGGAAGCCAGTGAAAGTGAGACAAATCCTCAACTCAAGAATGAATTAGAAACCATTGTATCTGAAATGTCTTTCCAGCTTCTATTTAGTTTCCTTTCTGGCATGTGTTCGCATAACTTCTGTTACTTCCATTTTAGTATCTTTAAATAGAAAATTTACCTCTACAGCCCTTTAGGAAAGACTTTACCACCTTTATCTCTCTTAAGGAATATTACTGTCATTAATTAAATCAATATTTCACTTTAATGCAACTCCTAGCTTTACTATGTGGGCTTTTTTCTGCAAACCACAAACACAAAACCACAGAGCTACAGCACAAGTTCTGTGTGATGAAAGGGAGGAAGGGACAGAAAGAATCGTTGCAAGTAGATACCATGGTTTTTCCCCCCAAAATCTCCAGGTTTTTTTTTTATTCAAGTTGTGATATTGCCTGAGAGTATCTGAATTACAAGATATGACTCAAAAGATAGAAAAAAAGGAAAAAAGGCAAGTTTCAAACAAATCTCATTAATAATGTCTCACAACGCACAAATCTACCTGGACATTTAAAAACAGCTGATGAAGAGTTAAGCAGTTAACTCTTCTAAGGTATTGCAGATATTCAAACAGTGCACCAAAGCTCCAACAAAAAAAAACAATGTCAAAACCTGTTAAAAAAAAAGTACAATCCTTATTCACCAATACCAAGCCCCAAAGCTCTCACACCAGTCACATTTTAAAAATCAGACATTAATACTGAGGTTTTCAAAAGGCCAAATATTTAATCATATGCTAATACAGAGTTGCAACTCAAGCCATATGTTTTTAAGAAAACTGTTCCAAAAGCATGCAGTTTTAATCAAATAGCTTAGCACTGAACTCAAAGAAAGCACTACATAACACTAAAATATGCATTTTGTTTTGGTGTAAAAGCTTTTGCACAAATACACACAGAGGACTTGATCTATGAAGAGGGTTTAGCTTATGCTGTCTTGAGTGAGTAAAGCTCAAGTATACCCGGCTGTGCTGAAGGAAAAGGAAGGATAATGGGAAGTCAGAAAGAGCCCTGTTAGATCATGGAATCCCTGTCCTTGCTTGTGAAGCACTTTTTACACCACAGCATTTCCCAGCATTTTGATTTTAAGCACTGTGTTGTTTCACAGAGCATTTTAAAAAAATTATTTCATAGAGTGAAAAAGAGCTGAAGAAGCTTGTTTCCTTTATCTGTGGAATGGCAAAAGAAATTCCCAGTAAGAAAGAGGAAGCAGGAAGCAAATCATTGTCCTAGAACAATAGGAAATTCTCAGGAATCCCAGACTATAAATCACCTAAGTCTAGAAATAAAGTTCTGATGGTGAAGTAAAAGTAATAGTCCTGTATTTACTTCTGTAACTGCCACACACAGGCACACAAAATGCAAGTACTCTGTAAGAATAAGAAATTTTCAATTATTACAAAAGTATCAATGTCAATCTTGCAAAAGGAGATTAAATATTTTCTATTGAAGAGGCAAGGCAATTCCCTACTTGACCTTAAATGCACATAGCTGAAAAATTAAATCTGCAATGTACCCTGCACTAAAATACGGAATGTGAAACCTGACATGCTTAGGGCGAAGAGCATCTTTTAATCTCACTGCAGGTGCCTCATGCAAACTCAGAAATTACTTCCTAGTGTTCTAATAGAACTTCCTTAGCATACAGAAAGCTGTAATAGGCACAACAATATTTATTTTCTTAGATACAAGTCCTCATACAAGACTTTAATAACCCTGAGAGTGAGACAGGATCACTGACAGCAGTACATGCAGGGAGTAAGATTTGTCTTCCAGAACTGAATCGTGTCTTTTCAACATTGTAAGCAACGCTCAGCATTGTGATGAAAATAAAACAGCTTCCCCAGCCAGACATCCTGTGCCTTCAGCAGCTCCCTGAGGCATGCCACGATCATGGAAAACTGAGGAAGGGCTCTGCACCCACTGATAAATGCAGCTCCCTTCAAAGGGGCCTCTCTTTTGTCACTGATTATGCCCAAAGAAACCTGAAGAATGTCTAAATTAATGAGCATTGATTCTGCATATGTGGTTAAGTTAACAAAAATAAAAATCATGTTCGAGAATTTTGATCAACTTTAAACTATTTTTAAGTTTCACTTCTAAAACAGCTTTCTTCCATGGACAGCCAGAGGAAAAATAACCAAGGTCAGGGCCAAGATGCATTTATGAATGAAAGATGACTCAGAAAGGCTTTAGAAAAGCAAGAAAGCTGGCAAGGTTAAAAAGGATGGCAGAAATTACTTGAAATAAAAAAACACCCTTTTTCATTTAATTCTTCACAAAAACATAATAGAAAAAAATTATTTGACCACCATGCAATTGTCTGAACTTGATAACAATAACCCCTTCTGGAATGAGATTGTTCAATGGAAAAGTAATAAAAGCCTCTTTCCATATTTCAGAGCAAGAAGCATCTCACTGAGTCTGCATGGTTCTCTAGCTCATCACAGTAAAAGAGCACTGAGAGATAACCCAGCCCAGAAAAGTAAATTAACTTCTTTTTGCATATCTGTTCATCACTGACATGCTTGAAGAAGTTCTCATAGAAGAATTTTCTTTCTCCTCTGCTTCAGAGGATTTGTACCAAATTTAACAGTAGAGGTCTTAAAATCTGATAACATGAGCAATGTCAAGTCACTTAGATCCAAAGAATAAAATAGGCAAAATATACAGTTGCAAAGTGAACCCTCTTACTTATACCAGCCTCAACACTACAGGAAGAATGAAAAGCAAATATAATAGCTATTTTTAGTAAGTTCCAGAGATAACTGAGAATTCAAGTATGCACCGACAGCAATATTGCTTATATATTCCCCAGGCTATTTGTAGGAACTACAGTGCAGAACAGAATTGTGGACATGTGGATGAATACAAAATGCTGAACAAGAAACACAGATTTTATAAAAAGAAAATTTTACATCCAAAACCTCCCACCTCCAGGAGATCAACAAGCATACAGGGAAAGGAAGTCCACATTAAATTATTGATTTTCCAAGAAGCTCTCTCCCTTACAAAAACATTGAAAGGAACTAAGCACACTAATAGGGATGAGCCTCACAAGGAGAAGAGACAGGACAAAAAAATATGTGGAGGAAAGAAAATAGTAAAGTGTTAATTTTCTCACCAGAGGGAGGTTACCAGTGAACTAGAAGTCTTTACATGCACCCACTATTGTGCAGTCTACAGCAAGAGGCTCCCACCAGGGTACTTGCCAAGTTAGAGCAATCTCATGTTTAATTGCCAGCGCATGGACGTGTGCATTAGAAGCAGTGCAGCACATCAGGGAAAACACTCCTAACTTTAAGGAAATTATTGCATTACTAGACATTACAAGGAAAGGTTCTGGAGTTCTATCACTTTGACTTTCAGTACCCAGCAAAACAAAGTACCAAGCACATCAGAAATTATGAAGAAACACAGCATGCAATAGAGCAATATCAAAATATTGCCATATTGGGCTTATACTCTTAATATTGTGTGCAGTTCCTGTCCCTGTTGCCCAAAATTCACTCTTTCGCTATCCTATTTTAAAAAAGGAAGTCTATGCTGCCATTTTGGAGAGAGAAAGTGAGGATGATTAAATGTGACGGTTTCTACAAAAAACAACCAAAAAACCCCCTAGAGCTGCTGAGTTCAGAAAAGAGATACTGTGAGTAATAACTGAAGCAACTCAAACCTATTTCAAGAGAGAAAATGGTTCACAGAAAAATGGATACATCCACCAAAAACTCCTCTGGCTCTACTCTTTGGCACTTCAAAGCCTCTTACAAACTTTCATGCCCAGCTCCCTCAGTTTCATATCAAGATGAGTGATTTTGGTGGGTTTCAGGCCAGTGCTGTGATACATGGGCAGTGACAGTTTTCTCCTCAGGTGACTTTAGATCTGAAGAACATGAACATGCACTGGGAAACTTTGCACAGGAGAACTGACCTAGATTGATTCAACATTGGGAATGATAAAGATTTGCATTTATTCAAATTCCTTGGACAAAATAAGTTGCAGAAGTCCATTAAGAAGTACCAAACAACTATATCATTTCTGACTCAAGGTAATTCCTGGCCTTCATGTCAGTGTGAGCTGAGAAAGTGCTAAACAAAATGCTTAAAATACACTCTGTCTTTGAACTGTTTTTCTACTTCCTCGAGCATCTGCTGTTGAACTCTGTGGGAGATCATGTGGACTGCTGATCCATCTCAGTACCTTTGGTCTTGTATGGATTTTATGTTTATATTTCTCCATTGTGTAAATTCTTTTGATTATATTTGGGAGTTATCCCAGAGAAGTAATGAAAAAGAGCTATTGAAAAACCTACAGCAAAAATAATTGTGCAATCTACTGCTGTTACAATTCAATCCAAATGTTACAGGAAAGGAAGTCAGAACAGATTCTCCATTAAGTTCAAGCATCCTTGGCATAAGATGGGTTCCTCGTTACAGATACAATTGATCATGCCAGAAGTAAACAGCAAGCCAGACAAGGGAGGAAGTGGTGAGAAAGAGGTGTCCATTTGTATGTCTCACTGCATTTCATAAACAGTCCTTTCCCATGCAACACTTCCAGAAAAGAAAATAGGTAAGGGATATTTCTAAGGGTTTTCTATACTCTCGTGTTGGTATGTTTTCATTTCCACAGCTCTAAATGTAAATATGACAGACAGGTGAGGGAAGTACAGGAAGAGCAAAAAAGTATTTGGGTGATGTTAAAGTTCTTTGTAACAGACCAAGAACTCTTGTGGTTCAAAATTCAGCACTGGAGAGGAACAAACAACACACCACAAGGTTCAGCCTTCCTGAAGAATTTTGTATGAGACACTGCATTGTGTCACTGTCACAATTCAATTGTTACTCAGGGGAAAAAAAAAAAAAAAAAAAAGAAGCAAAGGACCCAAACCAACCAAAAATAAACCCCAAAAAACCAACCCCCCCCCACAAAAAACCCCAACCAAAAGCCAAAAAACACTCAACCCAAATAGAATGAAACAAATCCCCCCAAAACAAAAACAAAACAAACCCCAAAACCCAAACAACAACAACAAAAAAAATCAACCCAAAACAAAGCCCACAAAGAAACAAAAAAAAAGACAAACCAACAACCCAATACCATTACTAGCTATGGCTTTTGGTAAAGTATGAATTTGATTACTGATCTGGAAAAAGAATTTCTATTGTCCCTGAATAACTCTTTCTCACCAGTTCAGCTGGAATTCTCAAAGGAGATTATGAAACACAGGAATACTAAAAAACCTTCTCTTACTGGAGTAAATTAAATATGGTTTTAACATCCAGCAAACTATTAAGTTTGTAAAACAAAATTCCAATTTTGGGTTCTCAAAATGTAATTAGAGGCTTTCTTTTGAAATACAAAACTAGCCACATAATACTTTCTTGAACTGATAAACCCCAATTCATTTTACAGCTGTTTCTGGTATGTTTTACTTAAATATCAACAAAATCCATTTTCATCACTGAGCACAAGGAAATAGTTGGTTCAGTAATTTTTCTTGTACAAGGAAGCTAAATAATCTTGAGTTTTGATTCACCTCACATTTATTGTTATAAGGTTTCACATGTATAACATGTTTTTTGGTTTTACTAACCCCAGTTTATCAATCACTGCATGAACTGACTCCTGCACACAGCTTTTTATTGTGCCAGAGCCTATGACAGCAGCATTCTGCAGAGGGAGCCAGAGGATTATGCATAAAGCTTTCTTGAGCTAAAAGAATTCCTACTAACTTGTACCTTTGAAAAAAGGCTTGTTTTAAAAAATACTTTAAAAATGTAAAAAAAAAAGTTAAAAACCAGCTACCCATCTTGGCTCCTTTTTAAGTGCAGAGCACCCAATTAAAAGCATTAACCCACCTTCTACTGCTTTCAATGCAACTAATTCATCATATAGTACTGCCTTCCTTACAGCCCTTAATCAATATTATTTTTATCACAAGACTCAAATGATAGCTATTTATATGTTTCAAAAAATGCAGAACACCTTTACCATGTTCTACACTTTCCATCACTTTTGAAACTCAGTTTTCAAAACTCTTTTTAAGTAAGTGCTCTCAAATAGAAAAGCTTATTGGAGCATCTGAATATTTCTAAAAGCACAAAGCTAAATACACTTGCACCAAATACTATTCTCACTTTATATCAGGCTTCACAGTCTATTGGGAGAACATTTATCAACAACTGAAATTACAGCTAATTAAAGCATGGTGCTAGCAAACCAACATCAGTGATTGGCAAATGAGAATAGTTAAGAATCTACAAGATATTAAAAATCCAAGACACTTCCATAAACACAGAAACTATGAGCGCTCAAAAGCAGCTCTGTATATAGAAAATAGTTGCTAAACTGATTATTATTGTTAGGAAATTTGAAGTGGGATTTTCTAAAATCCTGTATTTACAGCCAGAAGAGTATTGGAAAGTGCACAGCTCTGTTACCCTATCTGCCTTTGGCACAATTTTTAGAACTTATGAGAAACAGAGATAGAAGCATTAGAGTTATAGCAGTTTTAAAACCAAATTTGTATACTCGTGTTTAACCACCGTTTGTTACTGCATTCAAATTGATTATCAATTCATATTCTAACCAAATAACCTCCCATCAAAGTAACTACTATAGTTCCAGTAAAACATCAACAGTGTATTCAAGCAAGCAAAACAATTACATATCTATACTATTTTAGGTAAGAAGGGAAATACGTAATTTTGATTTTAGGTATGAAGAGAAACACATGAAGGGAGAGCACATGTTGACAAAACTAAAACATGTATTTCTTTATATTTATTTACTTTTTAAACTTTTAAACAAGTTCTAAAACTTATTTCACTTATAAGTGCCTTCTAAAAATTCAGTCAAGAACACATTTGTGTCATTGTTCTTGTTGAAGGTAAATGCTTGAAATATTATGACAGAAAGAAAATTTACCCATGAGATTCTCCTAGAGGCCATTGAGAAGGAATATGAGGGTAAAAGAACTGGAGACCACAATAGACTGATGTATAATCACAAATAAAAAAAAAAAAATCTTAAGTCCAAACATTGCTAAGCAGATAAGCATTTCTTATGCTATAGATTTCAAAAGGATGAAACCTGTTTCAAACTTGAAGTTAAATGCTTTGGCTCTCATATGAAACTAAAAAAAAATGTCTTACCTTGCCCCGAACTATATATTGCTTTCACAGATTTTTTCACCTTCTGTAGTGCAGTTCTGTCTTGATCCAATGCCTGCAACAGCAAGAAGTAAACAAACTTTAAATATGTACTTAATTGATTGCCAGAATATACTTTAACAACTAAAAAGAAACACACAAAATAAGTGGTTTCACAGGCTGGAAAAAGCTGCAGGTACAAATGATTCAGCCTGTGGGAAGGTCTGGGGTCATTCAAGCCCTTCAAGATGAATTAAAGAATTGAACTGAAAATGCTCTGACAACAGAGTAGAACAGTACTGACAGTGCTAGATGAAAAACACTATTTTGGTTCTGCAAAGGACAAAGCATATATTCAAACTGCATTATATTTTGGAAAAAAAAATCCTAAACAAGAAATAGCAGATGCTTCCACACTAGCCCTACAGTTTCTACTACAACTAAATTGCTTGTTAACATCTGTGGTTCTCCCACAGCAACAGTGTTTATAGACACAGAAAATCACACTAACCCATTGCACCAAATTCTACAACATAACTCTAAAAGTACAGCAGATGAAAAGTAGAAAATCAAAATAAAGGAATAATATCTGATTTTGTGCAACATAATGTGACTGAAGGAATAATAATAGCAGTAATAATAATAATATTGAAATATTCATTTTCAAGATTTTAAGAATTTTGAATTTTCTGCAATAGTTCCAAAATTCAGTATAAAATGTATCCTGGTTTAGGGCAAATTTGGGAGAAAACCTCTGAATAGAGTCCCTCCAGAAAGCAAATTTAAGCGGCTCCTCCCCACATTGGTTCAGCAAAAAGATTTCTTTGGAGAAATATTACTAATTATTAATATATTTAATAATAGTATATATTCTATATTTCATATAATTGATTATTATGTAATTATTACATAATGATGAATTGAGTATTAGTTTTCTAATTATATACAGAAATGTTTAAATAGTTTGCTATATTTTTCTCCTATTTAGATCACAGGTGATTTCCTATCACCTAGGTAATGTTAGATCAATAATTACAAGTTCTAATGAAGCTGGCAGTGTTTGCCATATTATATTCACTTTCAAGTCATGGGAGATTGGAGAATTTGTACTCAGAACCATTGTGAGGACAGCAGCCCAACTGAGCATGGGAGCTGGTAACAACCACACAATTCATGCTGCAGAGAGCCTTGCACAGTCCTGTTGTCCAAAAAGTTCAAACTGGGGGTTTTGAAGTCTGGCATAAAAATGGACAGTGTCAGCTACTCCTACTTCCTCACAGAGGGACATCACCAGCAACACTGAGTGAAAACACACAGTAAGCAGAGCTGTCATTGTCAAAACGGAGATGATTTTGACAGGGAAAGCCTTAGAAAACTTTGTAGCACCTTCCAATACCTGAAAAATGGGGTCTGCAAGACAGCTGGAGAGGAAGGTTTTACCAAGGCATAGAGTGATAGCAGAAGGAAGACTGGTTTGAAACTTGAGAGTAGGTTGAAATTAGGTATTAGGTAGCAACTCTTTACTGTGAGGGTGGTAAGGCACTGGCACAGATTACCCAGAGAAGTTGTGGATACTCCATTCCTGGAAGTGTTCAAGGCCAGGCTGGATGAGGCTTTGAGCAACCTGGTCTACTGGAAGGTGTCTCAGCTCATGGCAGAGGGGTAGGAACTAGATGATATTTAGTTTTCCTTCCAACCCAAGCCCTTGTATGATTCTATAATTTAAGAATATTCCACTGGGCATTAAGAAGCTCCAGAAAACCACATCAGGAGCTCCAGATCAACTACAGCATTAAGCATTACAGACAGTTAAACGTGAGGGTACTGCTCATCAGAAAGCTCCAAACACTGAGTGTTCCTATCTGTGAGCACTTACAGTAGGAATCCATACACAGAAACCAATTCATATATAATGAATTAGTAGCCCAATCTTAACCATGAAAAATGTTATAGCTGAACAATACATGATAATCTGTAGCAAAATAAAATGGAATGTTTCTGTTCCTTAAGTGGAAACAACCATTTTCTCAAATCATACAATCACTCCTGTGGCAGCTAAAACTAGAACGCTTGGAACCACAAAAGCTGTAAAAATGCCTTCTGAGGCTATTTATCTCTGGGGTTTTTTTTCCCATTTACAGCAGAACAATGGATTAAAACATTAAGAACTGCAAACATCATTACTTCTTTTGCTCCCCACTAAAACAGTGGGTTTGACTTGACTTACATCTTGCCAGGAAAAGTTACCATTTTTAAATGTACTAAAATATTGGGAACTCTGTGTTCCTTTCCAAGACAGTGCACAGCAAGTGCTTCTCTTTGATTCCTCTGCAAATGCTGTCAAAAGCTTTTGCTTCTGCCTGCCTCCTATGTCAGGCAGTTGCTATCATACATTTCCACTGAAGTTTTCTCCATCTTCAATGACCATAAAAAAATAATGACTCACTTGTCTACTGAGAGTCTGAACACAGGATAAGAATTTGAATCCAATATTTTGAAAGAAAGACAATGGTTAATATTGACAAAATTGAGAGAGAAAATTTTTTGCTAAGGTCTAGTACTGAAGCAAATTGAACACTCAGGAGAAAGAAACAAATACAAAAACTCCAGGGAACTTTTTCCTCAAGTTATCAATCTAAAAGACTATGACAAGCAGACTAGAAAAATCTTCTAAATTAGATTTGCTATTGAATTAGATGCAATCACTAATGTGAGAGCAGGAGGAAAGGGAACATTCATTATTTTAAAAGAGGATTCACTGAGCAAAGCAATATACAGAGATGACATCCACAGCCTGAAGGAGCCAGTGATCTAAGTCAGAACGACATCACAGGCTGATTCTGTATCTTTATATTTGCAAATATAATTTTTATGTGAACTACTTCTTTGTAGTCCAAAACTATAAACAAAACACACTTACATACCAGGTACACAAAACCTGTTTCCTAGGGTTGCTTAAGTACTTTTGTGTGTTGAGGTTTTTTGGTTGTTTGGTTTTGTTTTGTTTATTTTATATAACTGGAGATAGTTTGTTTCCAAATATATTACATTCCTCTTAGATGTCTTTTGCTGATAATTTTTAGCTGCTGCTCTGCTGCAAAGGAAGTAAGCAGCACTCCATGCTCAATTCAATTATTATTCCAGAGTAATATTCCCTTCTCAGCATGTGTAGATAGGAACATGCCTTCCCTAGTTAGGTTAAAACAAGCCTTTGCAGTATCCATAAATTTTCATTTTGAGTATTTAGAATACTAAATATTTTAACTGCCTATAGTCGAAGACAAAAAATCTGATCTTCCATTAAAAGTGGCATACATTTGTATTATTGAAAATTGCAATGTCTTAGAGAGGCAAGGGGTTTCTGTGACAATCTCTAGGTATTCAGTGACACTCCTTCCTACCTTCAAAATTCTTCCTTACCACCACCCACTCCTGGCAAATGCTTCTTTCTTCATTTCTATGATACCATCTTGCAGGAGGCCTTTTTAGGTTGCACTGAAGAACGTTTTCTCACCCTCTCATGCATTTTGGAAAGACAAATCATTTAAAGGTACCTACACCACAGATTCACTACCTTATTAGCTGAACAATTCTTGAGAACAGTCATTCTGGAGACAAGCTCAAAATAATGCAAAATCAGTTTCCACAAAAAAAAAATAAATAAGAGAACTGAGATGGAAAAAGGAGAAAGCACACAAAGCACCCATCATATTTATTCTGCTTAAATAAAAAGAAGCAAGGAAAGCTCCTTGCTCCATTCTCAGCAGATACTCTGGCTTTATTGAGGCTTCAGGTTGCTGCATTCACTTATTATTCACATTGGAAGCTTATGCTCAAGAAGAAAATCTCCTGATCATGCAACATCAGCTCTTCTAACTCATCAATGTGAAATTCCCCACACAGTTGCACCAGATATAATTTCTCCTTTCTGCTAAAATGAACCTAGCCTGCCATTTCAAACCACTAGCCTGGTTCAAATCTGCACTGCTGAACAAAGTGGAATCTCTGCTCCCCCACCCCAGAGCACTCCTGTTGGCCACACAGTAACCCAGCTCAGGGGCTGCTGTGGTGCCAACAGACCCATGAATCCTTTTGAGCACCATGGATCTAGCTCACCTTCCCTCAATGCAGTACACACTGACAGACATTTGTATTTACAGCTACCATTTCACATTCAGAGAAGGTACCTCCTCCCTCCTAAGATGTACATTTACAGGTAGCTATTGATATGAATGGAAAACTTGTTCATCTGAGGATGTAAAACCGAATTAATTTTGGGCTGGAGACAAGGTGAGTTCTCTCAATGGATCATTTAATTGATGCAGATCACTGGGTAGCTGCACATGCACTTTTACCAGCCTACCACAGCACACAGATCAGAGCCAGGTCAGGAGAGGTATATGCTGACATTCCCTAACCCACACCAGTCTTCTCTGCTGCACATTTTCCACCACTGTTCACACTGACAGACACTGTTTATGCCTCTCCTCAACTCTTAAGAGCCTGATCTCTCTCAGTGAAAGGTATTTCTGTTCTGGGACCATGCTCTGTGTTAATAGCCTCTAAATTTTAAACTAAAAATTATACAACAGTGCAATGTGGAAAGTGGTAGATTCTGGTTCGCCATCTGTCTCTGAGGCAGTAAAAACTGGAAGGTTCACATTCAGATAAACCACTAACTGCATCTTTAAAACCTTGTGTCTTTTTCTTCTGTATAGGTATGCATATATTTATGGGCATGTGTGTCCCTGCCCATGGCAGGGAGGTTGGAACTAGATTAATTTTAATATTAATTTTAACTTCCAACCCAAACCATTCTGTGATTCTATATTTGTCCTGATGTGTTCGTGCACAAAAGGCTACATACTATAACCATACTTATGAATATTTGAGATACTTATTGCTAATATACATGAAAATCACGGTTTAAAAACCACATAAACCTTTCTTTCTAGATTAACATAAAACTACTTCCAGAAACCAATCACAAAAGTGTTTTGCACACAAATTTAGCTTTTCTAGAAATCAGCACCAACCCAGAGGCACATGTTTGCACAAAGGATGCTACTGCCCACT